TTTTTTTTTTTTTTATTGTTTTATGTTTCTTTGTCAATTTGTCTGTGTTTAAAGAGCTGTTAAACTTCCTGTATTGGTTTGTGGCAGATATCCAACCACTTAATAGATTATGTTTATTTGTATATATTTACACCAGATTGCCTCATCTAACAGCATAATTGTGTATGAAGCTCTTGGGCCTCACTAGTCCTGCTGTTTATTTAGAACCTTTTATGTGACAAGGTACCTAAAAGTACAGATTTGGGGATGAGGGTGGCACAAAATACAAGCAGTTTTGTAACAACCTGCACATAAAGAATGACATAAATGGACCGTAATTTCAACTCTGAACACTATCTAGCCAAGGTTGAAAAAGCAGCAGTTACTTATTTAGTCTGTCCGATTTGTTTCTGAGTCAGATGGTAAGAGCGAATGTTCGGGCATTATTATCTGTAACAAAAAGACTGATCGCACCATTGGATGACCTCATGCAACAATGTGGCTAAATGCAAGGCATCTGTGTGAAGACTGAGATTAAATTATGGAAGTATGTAAATGTAATGTTAAACAATCCTTGTCTTTTGTGACACAAGCCCTCTACTGTCTATCACTGCCCTAAAAATAAATGACTCTTGCATTGGGCCAGAGATTGGATTTTGAGCTTTTGATGCATTATGCAGATAAAATCTGGTGGACAGAAATTATTTAATAAACACTGTTAGTTAATGAACTGCGTACAAACATTATTTAAGAAAAGATTTAAAATAATTTAAACATATTCACTGTGTGGATTTGCGTGATACTCCCTCGACACTTAACACTTTCCATTATCAGCCTGTTTGGTTGATGGAGAATTGTAGATTAAATGGTGGGATAATCAAGCAAGTTGTTATGCACCATGGTTAAGCTTGCCCGGTGTTCGGACCTACAGTCTCTGTGGGTTTGTTACTGATAGTAAAACATAGATGTGATGAAGAATCCTGTTCCCCGCCATGATATTTACAAAGGGCAATTCTTTGAAGTGTATGGACACATATTTATACCATAAAAATGGGAAGAATGCAGAAGTCTGAACAGAAAAACCAACAGTACGCATAATATTCCATGTCTATATATATATTTCATTTCATGGGGTATTTTGCACCTGTTTAGCTTTTACAAAACAGAATGACACATTTCTAACATACAAGTACAAGTGTGTAAAGTTCTTTGAACCCCTGTAAATAATTGTTTTAAATGAATGAACCATATGAGTCTACCTATGTGATTTGGGATTTTAAAGTCTGTATTGTGATTTAGTTGAAGTGTAATTTAGGTAGCAAATATGTGACTGTAATATACAAATGTTGACACTTATCATGCAACAGTAGCTGTGATCCTTTCACAAGAAGAGCATGGCTGTTTCTTCCAGGTACATTTCTGTTCTCAGCGTGCTAGTTTTTGTATGTTTACTTTTAATCAGTTTAGTTTCTTTACTGAGAGGGAAATATAGTTTCTAAAAGCTTGAAATGGTTCCAACTAAATTAATAAAAGAACCAATACAGGAAGCAGTACTTCACTATAACTATGTTGACAAATTCACTGCTATATAAATCTTTTCTTTCATGTTGAATATTACATTATCATTATCACTTTCATCCTCTGTAGTACTTAATGTACAGAAAAAAATATCACTGTAACTTTGAATAGAAATGTGCTGCTTAAAACCTGTCAAAGATTTCATGACCTTTCATGACACAATTGACCCCTACCCTACATTGCTGCAGTATGTTTTACAGACTCATTTGTTGTCATTTTCTGTTCTAGTTTACACAGGGACCAAGGTTACTGTATGTATAGTTAAAGATACAACACAACTTTTTTGTTTTCATTCTGGTATTATATATAATTTAATCGATTAAATAGTTTAATCTTTTGACTCTGACTCATTGGCTGACACTTGCCCGAATGTTATTGTCCTAATATCAGCATCAGCAAATATTGGTTAAATATACAGACTGTCACACTGGGCATGTGAACGTGTTTGTAGATCAATGTGTGAACAAATACTTAAGTCTGAATCATTAGTTTTGAGGATCAGGAACACCAGTGTCAACATCAAGCCAACATGTGTGAAGGAGGTACAGAGGCAGATGTCCCCCAGTTGATTTGGTGAATATTTGTTCAGTCAAGTATGAGATAAGACACTGGATTCAACCTGTTCTGCTTCTGGGATTCAGGGTAAAGGTTACTTTTACTTTATGTTAATGTTACATTAGCTGACATAACAGAGCTTAAGCATTTAAATAATTAGAACAACTTGGAACTGGCGGTAATAAGTTAGAATTTATCTCTGTGGGCCTTTATTTTCATATTGTGGGGGGGGGGGGGGGGG